GTCGTCCGTTAACATTTTACATTTTCAACTTAAGCTGAAATACTGGCAAAGGGATTTCATTAATATTTCATGGGAGGTTACTGACATCTCCCTGACCAAGTGTTGTTATTTTTCGAGTCGATCAGAAATCCAATATGGCCACCACGGCCGCCATTTTGAAAAACTATTTCAAACTTAAAGTCAAGTTCTGCTGGGCAAATTGAACTGAAACTTTGTAGGAATGATTGACTCATGGTCCTGACAAAGTTTTGTTGTTTTACGGGTCAATCAGAAATCCAATATGGCTGCCATGGTTCCTATTTTTAAGATACCTATTTCAAACTTAAAAACAAGTTCTGATAGGCCGATCTAACTGAAAATCGGTCTAGAAATGATCAGCTCATGGTCCTGACAAACTTAAGTTAACGTTATATTTAACAATTTTTTACTCAAATTGGTACATATTTCAACAACAAAAATAAATACTGTAGGACTCAGGTGACCGTTAAGGCCCATGGGCCTCTTGTTGTGTTATGTTCAGGGTTCTCCAGTTTCCTCCCACAATAAGACCCNCCAAAAAAACCCCCCCCCCCCCCCACGCTAACATCTGGACCAACAAGAGTGATTAATATAAGTTGAAATAAACAAAGATGATATATAGTATACTCAGTTTGCTATTTTCTTCAGTTTTAAACTGGTATTGGATAGCTTATTTAATATGATGAACTTTAAACAATCTTTCCTCAGGAGATTCTGTCATCCGCATATCTACCTTGTAACGGTTTGGCATTAAAATATAACAACTGTTGTAAATCAGTAAAGTCTAATTCAATTAATCCTTATGACTTCATACTGTAAGCCCTTATATAACACATGTCAGTATTACTTGGCAATCTTTTAAAAGAATAATTAGTTTAGAAATACGGCATGGCATTTATAATCCCATTGACAATGGAACCTGCAATTGTTTCCATCAATCTAAAATCTATAATCCCAATTTTAAAACAAAATTTCAGCCTTCAAAGGAAACTAATCCCTTATCATTGTTCCCTGTGTAGTTATGAAGAAATAGTCAATGCAATCACAGCAGGTATAGAAAGCCTGTTCTAGGAGGTGTTAATGTCATTTGGTTTCTATGAATTGCTTTGTCAGTGCGTCTCTATATGTCCATAATAAAAAGTTTGTGTTCCAAGATATCTCATGAACCTTTCTACAAATTTAATTTACATTAACAGCATAGTATGGTTACACTGAGCTCTACACCTGATTAGATTTTGATGGTCATCAGTCAAGGTCAAAGATCACTGATAACAGGATGGGGGTTGGGGATATGGGGTGGCGATTAGGTTTGGGGACGGAGGTTTTTCTATCTGAGCCTCCACTCACTTTGGTTTTAATCTCTTTGCCTTTGTTGTAAGGTGTGTTATACCAGAATAGGGATATATATAAAGTGTACAGTATCATTGGTCAACGATGCTGCCATTGTAAATTTCTGCCTTCATCTTACGCTAGCTGATGGTCTTATTGTTTTCAAATATTAGTTGTATCCCATTATATTTCTATTTTGTTTTGATGTAATGTTTTTCTGTGTCCCTATAAAGGAACGGATTGCATTGTTGGAATGATTTCCTTGCCCCATACAAAAGGTGTATATATATATACCTAGATTGAGATAAGGTGTATAGCTGAATTGGGAAATGTATAAGATTAAGGTTTATAGCTGAATTGGGATATATGGTACTAGGTTTATACCCTAATGTGGGATATGTGTGAAGTTAATACCTGAATTTGGAATATATATCAGATGTTCACCTGAATTCGTATATAGGAGAATCCTGAATTGGGAGTATATAAAGGCTACCACATAATCAGAAGACATCTTGTTGATTTGTAATAGGTAATTTAAATTGGTTCTGGCTGTGAAAGAAACAGTAATCTCTGCCTTGGACCCACAATTGTTCTGTAATCATTGCCTTCCCAGACCCAATGACAGTTGGCAAAGGTCGTATTGATCACCATGGAAACACAGTCAAATATCGGCCATTACGCAGTGTACATCATTTTGTAACGTGACAAATGCAATCTAATATGGGAAGCAACTGGTGATGACTTATTGGAGGGACGCAGGATTTGCATCTTACTAAATCATGATCCATATTCATAAGTCAAAAACCTGCACAAGCGGATTGACGAGCTCATTTTGTGGCTGTGTTATTTGAAAATGTATTATTGGCCTATTGCAGGCCTGCCGCTCAGCGGTTTTAACTCCAGTTAACTTTGGTTTGATTTGAAATTTTATTTCACCTAGGAATTCTTGAGTTTTAAGTATTGGAAAATATTTAGAAGCATTTTGAAAATTTGAAGTATCATTTTGTTAAGATAGCAAACTTCTATGTCTGGGATATTTGATGTAATGCAGTGTAATGGCCGCTCACAGAGAAGTTGATATGCTAAGGGGAATAACTCTGTCTAATTATTAAGGACAGAGGTACTTGATGACACAGAAAAGGCCTAGATATGTTCTGATAGTTGTGTGGTCCCTAGGTGGTGATCATCGACACAGACCTGGCTGACAGTCCTATCTCAAAGTTTTATACCCATCAGTGTCATTGCTGATTAGATTTTTTTTATAAATCCCAGACAATGTTGGTAGTATTGGAATCTTTCAAATCCCAAGTATCATTTATGGCCATATAGATTAAGCTACAACCATGAAGCCACACTGATGTGTCTGTATATCAAACAATTTTGATTACAGCCTTGCCCCGAAGTAACAATAACAGTACAGTTTTACTTATATAAATTACATGTATATATATATATACACTGTATTTGTACTGATATGTATTGATTCAGGTAATTCTTGTAAAGCCAAAATATGAAAATCAAGTAGTACTGCATGTAATTAGTGTAATTACAAGTTGATTCACAGAATTCCTGTGGAGTCATGTTGATAGATGTAATTAGTGTAATTACAAGTTGATTCACAGAATTCCTGTGGAGTTGTATGTTAATAATATAGTGTGATTAAAAGTTCCATCACAGAATTCCTGTTGAGTTGTATGTTAATAAAAGTAATTAGTGTAATTAAAAGTTCCATCACAGAATTCCTTTGGAGTTGTATGTTAATAAGTGTAACTAGTGTAATTAAAAGTTCCATCACAGAATTCCTGTGGAGTTGTATGTTAATAAATGTAATTCGTGTAATTACAGATTCCACCACAGGATTTCTGTGGAGTTGTATGTTATAAATGATGGTGATATTTAACTTGTATCATAATTCTTTTGTTTTCAGGGTAACACTGTAATTATAATTCTTGATCAATAATTTCTAAAACCACTACTCTCAGTTCAATCTCTGTATGATTAAATTATTCTAAGAAGATTACATAATTTTATTTTTGGTTCTAGCTTATTAATGTCGACCTTGTTGAATGTGAGAAAAACAGGTCTTTTGTACAGTTGTGGGATCGCACAACATTACACGATGTGCGGTGTGCGCACAGTGTGTGCACGGTGTGTGAACGATGTGTGCACAAAATGTGAACGATAAATATTGTATGATCCTTGCATGCGCACATATGTGTGCACAATGGACGAACGATGTGCGATAACAATTGTAGTTGGTATAAATTGAGGAATGCCTTAACAATATATACGAATTCGTGTGTAACAAATAAATTTGATTTTTACATACATGTATGTTTCTATATTCTACTTACATCAATAAGCTTATCGTTATGTCTATACTTTCTTAAAATTAGAAATTGTGTTTTCGGTACTCTTAAAACGACCTTAATCGACACATATGAAATTACAACACAGTCCTGTATACAGGTAAACATAACCACTTTGTACGGTGACTCGTTTCCCCCCCCCCCCCCCCCGGGGCGTTTACCTATTTCGTCGGGTAGGGTCAGAGGTGTGAAAACCCAGGTGAAGGGGAGCCATAGGCAAACCGAATGCAAATAACAAATACTAAACGTACGGTATCGCATATCAGCTCTGTGTCAGGTACAGGCCACGTAAAACTCTGGTCACTCATCAAATTGTTATTTACCTGTTCTGTTACCTTGGAGCCAAACCCATTCAACAGTCACTGTAATGCTGTGTTACACGCATTGTAAAACTGTACATAATCTTCATGACTGTGATGAGAAATTACAGTAATATATACAGTTTTCACTATTGCATACGAGCTTTCCGTATTTTTTTCATTCCGTAATATTGATCTACAAATTGTACCAAATCGTACAGTTGAGCGGAGAGAACTCACAACGGGGAGAACGAATGTTAAATCGCACAGTTGTGCGCACCATGTGTGAACGATGTGCGGAAGGTGTGTGAACAATGTAAGCGTGTGCGCTCGCTATTTTTGGTCCGTTGTGCTGTCACACAACTGTAGAAACAAACTGTATGTCAAAATGTAATTTTATTGCAGCGAAATTTAATCTACAAACTACTTCCTGTGGGCATTCATAGCGACTTTTGTTTTATAATGTGGAATGACTTAAGTTTTTTTTAATCTGTAAACTCATAAGGAATTTCGTATTGGTTTCTAGTATGTCGATCATTCATGCGTTCATGTTGTGGTAGATTTACATGTGATATAGCTTTCCACCTATAAAAAAAAAAAAAAGATAATAATACACATAAAAAAACACATAGAAACCCCATACTCATAAAAAATAACCATTCACATCAATAGGAAGCATAATACAGTAATTCAATGTGAAATACATATCACAATCCACAAATATAGAAAATATGCTTTAGAAAGATCAATTAAGCAATAAGTTTTCTAAATGTTTCGGTTATTGTATACAGAACATTTGTATTTGTATATGCCAGACTTGGGTTATAACCCCTATGCATGAATGACACGAAAATATTAAATATTTTTCTTTATAGAACACTGAATAACTTATTTATTTATGCTATATTAAATATATTTATGTTTATTTATAAATGTAGCCAGTTTTTTGGTAGAGAGACTCACCACCGATATTATGTTCTCACAGATTGACATCATGGTAGACGGTGGATTTAAGAAGTCCGGTACGACGGCAGGCGACTTTACCATGCTGTCGAGTCGACTACTATATGTAGGGGGCAGCCCCAACCCGTCCACTCTGTATGGGGCCAGAGTCCAGACCAACTTCAAAGGATGCATGAAAAAGGTAACACTATTCAAGATTCGTTCTTATTTGAAATTGTAAATATGTGTTTTATAATAAATTGATGACAAATGCAAATGCTGTTTTTTGCCTTTAAGTTACCAACAATTTTTTAATATGCATTTAATAAGTTTTTGTTTATTTCCATTTTCAGTAGCATTATATTTTTGTTTTAACATAGAACAAATCCATTGTTTAAATAGCAGAATCATTTTAACTAGCACTTTACTTACATTTGATTATAAAGGGTTGTATTATTTTTCTAAGAAGTGGATGTTTCTGTCTGAATATCATTCTATGCTTCAACAACTGCCTTCCTGTAACAGGTGCATTAAGTTGTAGCATTGATTTTCCCTTATTTTTAAACGATAACCTTTTAACTGTTTTATGTTTCCACATTTAATCCTAGGTGATCTACAAATCTGATAGCGTGACCCTTGACCTGACGACCTTGGCAATAGAGCAGAGTGACATCCTGAAGGTTGTTGGCGATGTTGTATTTAACAAGTGTCATGACATCGTGGAATCTCAGCCCGTGACCTTTACTACCCCTGAATCCTACATCATCTTGCCATCATGGGAGGTAGGATCTGCTGGCGGCTCCCTGTCTTTTGCATTCATGACCAATGAACCCAATGGTGTTGTCATGTACAACAGTGGCACACAGAACTCGGACTTCTTTGCTTTTGAAATTCAGGATCGGTTCATGTATCTGATAATAGACCTTGGGTCAGGTGCCATGCGTATACAGGTATCCATGCAGCCTGTCAGTGATGCAAAACTTCACGAAGTCAGCCTGGAGCACATTGGTAGGCGGGGCTGGATTCTGTTTGATGGACAAAGAGTGAACTATACTGTCAGGGGAGAGAACTCTAACTTGGACATGGTAGGGGTTTTATACGTGGGTGGGGTCAACGACTACAAGGAGAAGTATCAGCTGCCCAAAGAGATGTGGGCAGGTATGCTTGGTTACGGATTTGTTGGATGCATGCAAGATGTTGTTATAAACGGGAACAAGATGGACCTTCTCAATGCTGCACGGAAACAGAGCAAGACAGACATTGTGAATTTCTGTCGTCCCTCCGAGCCGCAGTGTATGACCCGGCCCTGTATCAACAATGGCCAGTGTAGTGAGGGCTGGAACAGATATGTATGTGACTGTAAGGCCACACGCTACGTTGGTGACTTCTGTCAGACAGGTAAGTCACACAATACTACATTGATGACTAGAATCACAGAAATATTCAATTAGAGAATGTATTTATGGTTGTCTTGTGGTCTTACCTCATGCCAACTATTCAGTGAATATTCAGAATTTTACAAGTCATGCCTTTTTGCTGTTTTCATGTTTACATTAGTTTCAGAAAAACCAAAATCAAACATTTTTCAGTACAATTTAAGCTACAAACAAGACAATTGCAGAGGTCTTGCCTTACTGATTGCTTTTGTAGGAAAAAATAAGTGTTTTATGTCACACTTTCCTAAGTTGTCAGTATATAAAAATCACGAAATGCTAGTTTTCTCATCTTATCCATAGCTCAGTTCCCTTGATTATCCATAGCTTACCTCCCTTGATGATCCATAGCTTACCTCCCTTGATTATCCTTAGCTTACCTCCCTTGATTATCCATAGCTTATATCTCCAGAGGTTTTAGAGGGTCTAATGATTTCATCAATAAGCATAATAAATTTCTTATGCAACCACTCAGGCCTAAGTTTCTTGAATGCTCCTAAATTTAGAAGTTTCTTCAGCTGAACCATGATTTCCCTATGGAGAAATTAAAGTGAATTCAGAAAACCGGCAAGAACAAAATAAAACTTAAGTAGAAATACAAAAGGATCCATTATTCCCATAGTCGTAATATACAGGGGCAAAATATAGCCTTGGTATAAATACAGATGGCAAAATGTATCCCATAGTGTAAACACACAAGAACAGAAATATTCCCATAGTATAAATACAAACAGGCAAAATGTATCTTGTACTGTAAATACACAAGCACAAAATATACCAATATTATAAAACATATATTCCCTTGTGTATTTCTATACAAGGACACAATCAGAACTCAAAGTTATAAAAAGAGCAACTATAGCAACTATGGGGTGACATCAGAAACAGATGGTGTCAGCCATCATGATGATCATTGTACCATGACAAAAAGCAGGGAAACCTAACAAAACTTCCTGACAAGATTGTTTATTTCCTTCATGTGGCATTTCCATAAAACCCAGGGAAGTTCACTGGTCTGCGTTGACCTTAGACATGGTAAACATAGTTTTAGAATCAAAGATTACGATCAATACTGCTCTAAAAACAGTTTGATGTCCAAACTACCTTGGGAGTCCATTGTGATTTACAGAATGTTAACTTTGTTGAGAGTTGTCTACTTTCTTAACATCTTCTTGTATTTCAAACTACAATGTTGTATAATGCAATATTGCCTTGCATCATTGTGGCATATTACATTGTGCAATGTATTGTAATATATTGTATTATAATGCAATATTCTGTTGAGTTATAAATTAATGCAGGATGGTATTGCAATACATTATAATGCGGCATTGTATTGAATTACATTGCAATGTTGCATATTGAATTGCAGTGTATTGTGTAATGCATTTTTCTATTGAATTGCAGTGTATTGTGTAATGCATTTTTCTATTGAATTGCAATGCGTTTTTTAACACATTTGTGCTGCATTGCTGTGAATTGTAATGCAGTATTGAAATTTCTCCTTTGTGAAAATCTAAATTACCAGCACACAAACCAGAACAGATAATCCCACCCTATCGCTGGAGCCGCAGAGAAAGGCCAGCACACACCAACTCAGAAAGAAGCTGCTGGTAATTTGAGCGGTATATATGTCAACAGGCAGAAATGAGCTCACTAGCTAGGCTGATAGGATCTGATGGAAAAGTTAATTTTGTTATTTCCATTTTCAGTAATCAAAGAAAGATGGTAAAGAGGTATCACAATCTGTTATAGTCACACTCCACTCTGTTCATTATGGGACTTAGTTGCGTTTGTATTCGGTACTGCAACGTGTGTGTAAGTCAAAAGGGGAAAAAACACCTGTTTCTCAGATCGCCTGGAAAGTGAAGGTTTCTGACGAATAACGTGAGATCAATTAACTTAGACTTCCCGTTGTGATTTGTTCTGTATGGTACTGGAAACAGAAGCCCTCTGGGTCTGGCCCCGTATACTAGAACAAGCCAGTTGGCATGCCAATCAATGTATCTCACATAAAAGACACGTTTGCAGAAAAATCCAAAAAAGTACAGATATCTTTAGAAGTCTCACTTGCGGTTACTGCCATCACTATGGCTTCTTTTGAAAGGACAAGCCATTATCTGAAGCTGTGCATGTCAGTGGAAGCCAGAAGAGGGTTGTGACGAGTCAGACTTGATTCAATGTAATGTTTCCACATGTAGAGTGTCTGTGTGTAGTTGTACATAGTTATACAGACTTTTGTATGTCTGAATTTAATTATATTCAGTCCATATAAAATATCATGCATATATAGATATGGAGTCTGAATGTCTTAACTAAAGGTTGTACATGTGTATATGGAGTGTTTTTTGTACGCCAGTGTGTTAAATACTGTTCGTATCTTTCTGTATGTCTGTGTTTTGTAATATTTACAAATATGAAATATTCGGAGTAACATTAATCAGTTTGGTATGAATAATGAAGGCTATGAGTTTGTTTTGAACACGAACAGGAACAGAAAACCTTTTTTGCGACCTTTAGAAAATGTCTTGTTTCCTTTTTCTAGCAAAGAGTGTAAATGACCGTGTCCTGACTCTAAACTGCTGAATTCAACTCACTAATTAGCGGCAGTGTGCTGAATCAGTAAATTAAGGCAGCTGTCAAAAATCTTAGAGACATTTTGCCCAATAGCATTCAAATACTGCAGGTATTCAAGGGGATTAGTAATATGTTTAGTCATTCTGCCCCAACCACATCACAGACTGGAACAATTCAAAAGAAGTTGAAAGGGAGGACAACTGGAAAGTCAGGAAAATCAAAGAATCTATCTGGGTAAGGAGGGATTAGGGGCATCAATGAACAGAGGCGCCCTGTTTAGTAGATCTTGTCCTTTCTCGCCCATTCCTGATCCTGTGACATCACTCTAGCAACTTCATTATACCCCCTGAAATGATTTCTCTCAAACCTAGCATACTATTTCTCTATGATACAATGTTATGCCCTTTCCTTCGTCGTTGAATTTGGACAACATTTCTTAGAGTTATGTCCCTTTTTGTATAACTTCTCATCCAGAATATTATGTGAATTGCATCTTATAAAGTTCTAAAGGGATTTCTCTCAAAATTGGCAAAATACTTTCCTAATGAGTGATGTAGTGATCTTTGGCACGTTGTCAAATTTGAAACAAATTTTTCAGAGTTATGCCCCTTTTAATATGTATTTCACCCAGACCAATAGGTCAATCATGTGTAATACATTGACACTGAATGCAATTTTATTGCAATTTATTCAATTTTCGACGGCACTTTGCTATGGAAGGTATGTATATTAATCAGATGCAATCTAATATGTTCTATGTGCTGAATTATTTGAATTTGGGGCAAGAATTGAGAGACAAAGAGAATTCTGCTGATTTAAAAAGGAAATTATTAGGGTGGTAAATAGTAATTTGACGTTAGTATGAATATTACGACATAGCTAGAGTGCTATCAAGGGTTGTATGTAGTGTAGATGTGTATATACTAGTGTTGTATGTAGTGTAGATGTGTGTATACTAGTGTTGTATGTACTGTAGATGTGTATATGCTAGTGTTGTATGTATAGTGTAGAGGTGTATATACTAGTGATGTATGTAGTGTAGATGTGTGTATACTAGTGTTGTATGTTGTGTAGATGTGTATATCCTAGTGTTGTATGTAGTGTAGATGTGTATATACTAGTGTTGTATGTATAGTGTAGATGTGTATATACTAGTGTTGGTGTGACAGTGCTTAAGCTAGAATTTCTGTTGGTCGATACTCATGTTTTTTTTAATTGTCTCAATAGTTCGCTGATAAAGTTTTTTAAATTTGGGCAAAAATGTCATGTAAGATAAAAGAAATAATTGTGTACAAAATATATAAGTACCTTCCTGTAAAGGAGCCTGAAACTACCCGCTAGATGAAGCAGATAAGAAAAAGATTGATTTGATTTGAACAAAGACTTCTGTCCTGTTCATTCCACAGTCATTTATTGGCCTATGTTAGTGAAATCATTGCAATGAGAAACAAAATTGTCTTCAATTTTCAATTATTGGAAGCAGAGTAAAGTGACAGTTTTATTGAAAGTGAAAAATGAAAACAAGGTCGAGATGGATTTTTCAGTGTCGTAAATGCACTCTCCATGTAAATACGGTTTGTTTGTAACACCAGAAGTAATACAGGTTCCACTAGCTGACGTACAGAATATATGATGGAGAGTCGTGCCACTATGTGTGTCTACTGAACAGACCCTCTATACAAGTCATCAGTCATACTGAAAATTAGTTCGCAAACGCAAACATTTCTAATGAATAATCTCAGAAATTACCTTTAATAAATAGCTCATGTGGGGAGTCTATTACCTCTCCATGGTTTGCATAGAATTTATTTTCTGGATCAATATTCACAAGTATGAGACGTGTCGTTCAAGTTTACACAGTTACCATAAATTATACTAAATACACCAATATATCGTACACAGTTTCTGCTTTTCGATTCCATTGATTTTTCACACAAAAACAAAATTCAGGCTTCAAATTGTTTTTACTCTGTGGTATATAAGGATAATGATTGAAAAAAAAAGATATTGGCAGGCCATTAATATAGTGATATGGATTTGACTACACAGAAATGTGGATTGGTAGTTGAATAATGGCCACTGGGTGTATGATGTGATGTGGATTTGACTTCACAGAATTATGGATCGGGAGTTTGATATGGCCACTCGATGCGATGAGGATTGGTAGTTCGATATGGCTGCTGGGTGTGATGTGGATTTGACTTCACAGAAATGTGGATTGGTAGTTTGATATGGCCACTGGATGTGATGAGGATTGGTAGTTTGATATGGTCACTTGATGTGATGTGAATTGGTAGTTTGATATGGCCACTTGATGTGATGAGGATTGGTAGTTTGATATGGCCACTGGGTGTATAATGTGATGTGGATTTAACTTCACAGAAATGT